ATCTCATGGGGAAGAGTGGCCATATCTTGTCACCTGAGTCTTCTGTTGCTCTTTCTTTAATTTTAATGGAAACTCATTAAGAGAAGCTTTACTGTTCAATGTAAAGGGAAGTCTCTATAAGATGCAGTTGCTAAGTCACACACTTAGCAGCTGGGTGACTTTGGGCAAGTTACTGAATCTCTCTGTGCCTCATATTTCTTCACCTACAAATCAGGATTGTAACAGAAACTACCTTAAAGAAATCTCCCATGTGTAAACTAAGGTAAACATATGTAAGTACTTAGAGCAGTGCCTGGCATACAGTGAGCATTCAACTTATATTAATTATTATTATGGACATTATATAGAAAATATATATACATATATATCAATATATAGAACACAGATGTTTGGACCTCTTTCCTGCATGAATTTGGCTATTTATTTGGGTAGCACATAAGTATCCAGACATTATAAATAAAAAAATGCCAGGTATTTGAGACCATGTCTTATAATTGGATTCAATAACTCATTTATTCATTCGTTCACATAACACACACTCTGTGGCAGGCACTATTCTAGGCTTTGAGAGTCTGGAAAAGAGTGGGTTAAATGCTTCCATGCATTCCAAGTGTATAGTCTGAAGGGACGGAGACTTATTAAGTACTTAGATAATTCCTATCAATGGGGAGCACAAAGAGTCATGAGAATGGTAAGGTCTTCAGACCTGCTTCAGCCTGAGTTTTCCTGAGGGTTCGTGAAGGTTCTGGTAACAAGCTTGTCTCTGTATCCTTGCATGGGTAGGGCAGGAGATGTATATAGCATTTATCCACTGACCAGCCAGCAGTGGCCAAGTCTGGGGCTGTCTATTATAGCTTTGAGGGACTTTGAGGGGGAGTTTAAACTAGAAGAGCTACAAGTTTCTTTTCAAGGCTAAGATTGCATGAATCCATCATTTTCTGTGTATTTACTGAACATTTATTCAGGCAAAACATCTTGCTAGGGAGTAGGATGGGCAGAGCGGGAATAGGGGTGGAAAATAAGACCAAGTAAAGGGAACACCTGCTCTCAAGAAATGTACAGTTTTTGTTGGGAACACAAAATACATACAGATGATAAGACAATGGCAGGCCATCCCTGACTTAAGAAAAATTTATATCTGTCCCTTTCATTAGAAAGCCTCAGCTAGATAGCAGAGAAACATACATCCCGCTGAGGTGTCCAGACCTGCCAGCTCCCCGTGCCTGTCAAGTGGCATGCCCTTTGTGAAGAGCAGAAATTCCCTTCAATTTTTCGGGCTGTGCCTACTCAGGTAGCTTGGATGGTTCCTTCCAATCTCCCAGGTCTTCTCTTTTTCAACTCTCTGGCTCTGACAGGATGAATCATTGCTTCTCTGTTTGCCCACAGTAGATGGCATAGGCCTAGTGCCTTTATCATCATATTTTCCATGTGATCTGAGAGTGGTTTGTGGGTCTCTGCTAGTTTCCACTATGGATTGAGTTATGTCTACTGTTGCGGTGTCTATTGCTGCATCACAAACCACCCCAGAACAGAATGCCTTAAAACCATTGGATTGCCCATGACTCTGGGTGAGGGATTTAGGTGAGGGTGGCTCAGCTGGGGCTGAGTACCTACCATGACCTCTCTCACACATCTAGGGCCTTGGTCCTGTGTAGGAAGCGGTTATAGGGTTAAACCTCAGACTGACCTACTGGCAAAGTTGCAAACAAGTCCCAGCTGGAGGACACAGTCCTCTAAGCATAATTAAGCTTGATCTGTGACTGTTCCCTAGATCAGTGTTTTTCCACCTTTTTTGGGCAAAGGCACACTTGTTTCATGAAAAAAATCACGAGGCACACCACCATTAGAAAATGTTAAAAAATTTAACTCTGTGCCTATATTGACTATATATAAAGTAATTCTCTTGAATAGGAATCAAATAAACACAAAGAAAGTATTTTATAATTACTTTATTATGAAATATTAAGTAAACAAAATAGTGAAAAATTATAAAATTCTTGTCTTGTCTGCATCTATGGCACACCAGGCAACATCTCGCGGCACACTAGTGTGCCGCGGAACAGCGGTTGAAAAACGCTGCCCTAGATCTTTCCTGGGCAGCTAGTGGGCTGTGGGAGGGGCAGCAAGTGCTGCCAAAACAAGTGAAATTTACAAGAACATTGTAAATTACCTCGTTTGTCCCTGACTATAAATAAAGCATCAGCTTTGCAGTCTGGATTGGTTCTGTGACCGAACTTATCTTCTTGTTTGTCTTTTTTTCCTCCATCCTTCACCGCCCTCCCTTCGGCTCGCCAAACCCTTGGCTGTGCTGGCGCGGCTCAGGCCTGGCTGTCAGCTGGGGCATCTAAGTTGTCCTCTGGGTAGGTTTTCTCTCTCCAGAGGTCTGTCATCATTCAATAGTCCAGCTGGAGCCTTCTTACATGGCTGCAGGCTCCCAAGAGGGAGAAATGGAAGGTGCGATGTCTCTTTAATCTCAGTCCAGAAATCATGCAGCAGCACTTCAGCCAAAGCAAGACACAAGGACGCCCAGGCTGACAAGGTGGGGAAATAGACTCCACCCTTTGATGGCAGGACCAGCAATGTCATGCTGCAGGAGAGAATGAGTGGATTGATGTGGCCATTTTTTTGGTAACCACCTATTTATTCCCAACACTTAGCATGTGTCTGGAGCATCATAGTTGCTCAACAGTAATATGACCTGGCACTTAATAAGCTTCACTTATGTAAATATTTACATGCATCATCTTGTTTAAACCTCACGACTCTTTGAGGCATCATTATCCCCATTTTGCTGAGCAAATTGAGGCTTAGAGGTGTTAGGAAAATTGCCCCAAATTATTAAGCTAGTAAAATGTGGGGCTGGAATTCTGACTCAGCATCCTTGGCTCCAGAGCTGGAGCACAGAACACTCTACTGAAAGGTGGAAAGATCGGGTTTTTAGTGGTTTGTTCTTTTGTAGAATCATTTGTCACCATGATAGCCCCGTGGCTGCTTCTATTGTACCTTGTTCAGACATGAAGGAGGTAGATGACACTTGCTAGGTGGATTCTCTTTGAAATCAGAAGGGACATAGGCATGCTGCGGGGCTGGCTCTAGCACCGAACCTACTCCCAGCCCTCTTTTTCTCTCCTGAAGGGAAATACCTCTGGCAGCTGAAGCTCGCCCAGCTATTGGTTTTCAAAAGGTTTTCTGTGATGGTAGCTGGTGGTAGCATTTTCACATTTGGGTGGGCTTTTCATAAAGTTTATATTTATTCGTTTTTAAAATTGTGAGACTTTGTCTTTTCCTACTTTTCTTTCTTTGTTTTGTCAGTCCTCATTGGAGGATATTTTTCCATTGATATTTAGAAAGAATAGAAGGGAGAAGGAGAGACAAACATAGATATGAGAGAGACACATCAAGTGGTTGTCTCCTGCATGCATCCAGAAAGGGGCAGGGGATCGAGCCTGCAACCAAAGTACACGCCCTTGACCAGAATCAAACCTGGGGCCCTTTAGTCTACTGGCCAATGCTCTATCCACTGAGCAAAACTGGCTAGGGCTTTTCTGCTTTTTTTTGAAATTTATATTTCATTTTTATGAAATAGGTAGTAGATGTTTCCAAGTGAAGACACTTTGCAACAAAAATGCTGGCAGGCCTATACCCATTACCAAAACATGCCAAAGTTAACATTCCTCTGCAATCCCAAGTCTGGGAACCTTTACTCCAGCAGAAGAAATGACAGCCTGACGATCACACTGACTCACACTACCTGCTTACAATGCTGAGATGGTTCCGTTGTCTCTCTTCTGACGATTCCTTCACCTTGTATTGGGATTATTATGACAATTTGATGGCATCATTTGCAGAAAATGACTTTCTTCGAAGACAGTCTGATAAATAGTAATGCACGATAAATGTGAGAGAGCATTGTTATGATCATCCCTACGACATTCCCATACAAAATAGTGATTGACATTCTTGTAACTCTTTCCCCCTAACCGGCCCTGGCAATTAACATTCCCAAACCAGCTCCAAGAGGGCAGAGATGTGGAGATGTGGACACATTAGTGACTATCTGAGTGCCTGATAGATTCCTGAAACAGAATCAACGATCACAATAAAGGGTCTTTTGTCCCCAAATCCTCAAACTGACGGGAGAATTATCTCTTGGTTCTGAGTCCTGGCTGAAAGATTTGAGCTGCAGCCAAATGCTACTCTTTAAAAGGAGATAAGCGAACAATGACATTTTATCAGAAAGAATTTTAAGATTCTTAAAATTGCATCTAGTGAAGGACATTCTTGGAAGCTGGCAGAGAGTGAGGGCTTCTGATGCCCTCCTTGTGTCTTGATCCACCACCAGCTGTCCTGAGTGCACAGCTGCCAGGCTTGCAAGTGGGCAGGACAGGAAGGCTGTGACCCTCAGGCTCTGCCAGGGGCCAGAGGAGGCCGAACAGGTGCAGGACTTGCATCTCGGGAGGATGGTAGAATTGCATGGCCCTCAGTGGTCTGTGGCCCCTAGAGTGTGTGCATGTCATCTTAAGAGAACCTCTGGGCTGCTCAGGGTTTGGAACTGTGGGAGAAGATGCCTAGTGGGCTGACTTTCTGCCTCCTCGAGGTTGGCTGAAGGAGAACTCCTTGCTGAGCGTTCCCAGCGCAAGAGATATTCTCCACTGGTGCCTTACACAAGACGGCCACTTTGCCAGCAGGAGCCTGTGCCTCTAACTACTTATACGGTTGCTACTGCTTCCTTTAAAGGTTCCCTTTAAAGTGATTTGAGCCCACAGGATGAAGAGAAACAGGAGCAGGCACAGAAAATCTCTACCATTACCCCAGAGAGGGAGAACAAGGTGAGCTCAGAGAACAGGTGGCTGAAGGAGACACCTAGATCACAAATTGTGAAACAAAAATAACACAAAAGCAGATATTTTGGAGTAGAAATCTAATTTTTTAAATAATTGATTATTTAGTACCTGAGTGAAAGAAGGTTGTTACTGTTAAAATTAAAGAGTATTGGCCTGTTTCCCATTTGACTGCCACGTTTTCTCCCAATAGATTCCAGTGGCTATGCTTGTGGGATAGATCAGCATTGCCATGATCTGAAGGGGAAGGATTTGTGTGTGTCCTCTTTCTATATGAAATGGCTAAACAGAGAAGAAAAAAAAAAAGTTAAAAAAAAAGAGTATTGGCCTGGAAGAGCAAATGGAAGATAGGTTTTAAAACAAAGAGCAAAGGACAGAAAGTAATCTTTTTTTTATTTTTATCATTTATTTATTTTTCAATTACAGTTGACTTTCAACATTATATTGGTTTCATGTGTACAACATAGTGGTTAGACATTATATGTAACTTACAAAGTAATCCCCCTGATATTTCCAGTACCCATCTGGCATACATTGTTATTACAATATTTCTTACTGTATTCCCTAGGCTGTCCTTTACAGACCCGTAACTATTCTGTAACTGCCAATTTGTACTTCTTAACCCCATTCACCTTTTTTACCCAGTACCCCACCCCATTCCCATCTGGCAGCCATCAATTTGTTCTCAGCATCTAAGAATCTGTTTCTGTTTTGTTTGTTCACTTATTTATTTTGTTTTTCTAGATTCCACATAGAGTAAGATCATATGGTATTTGTCTTTCTCTGTTTGACTTATTTCACTTAGCATAATACCCTTCAGGTCTGTCCATGTAGCCCTAAATAGTAAGATTTCATTCTTTTTTATGGATTAGGGACAGAAACTAAACTTAATAAAAGAGATGTGGTTAATAAATTAGTAATGAAAATGTAATTGATAAGTAATGTAGAAAAAAATAATGCCTTATTAGGCCCGAGTTGATGGGTTTGGGTAAGCCGTAGGCTGCTCAGCAGACTTCCTGAGAACTCTGAAGATATTGTAATCCTGGATATAGCTCAGATTGTCAGGGAGCAAGAATGTGCCAATCACTCTGTACTAGAAAAAGCAGGAGACAGGAATGCAAAGGTATTAGTCCTTCATCATGTTTGATCTTGCTGTTCTTTTTATTGGCATGGAAAACTTTACCACTGACAGACAAGAGCAAAATGCTTTGGCTTGCTGCCACGAAGAGTGAAACATTGGCTAGGTATTAAAGAATCTCTTTAAATAGTCAGAATAGTTGAAAAACTAGAATGTATCATCTCAGGTGCTGGTTGAGATATCCCTTTCACTGTTCAAAAGGGGAATTGAATATGGCATTAAGAGTAGTTGTTGGCCTCAGAATACCAGCTGACGAAGTCAAGGGTTCTCTTGCTTGGAAAATAAATTCCTGCAATGTGACTTTGGCAGATTTCTCAACATTTTATTGGATTCCAGCAAAGTTTATCAGCATATCCTTAGCCACTTGATTTAGTGATGAATTCTCAAAAAATTTAATCTTTGAAATGGTTGCTGTAATAAATGGGTCTCTGAGAGGTACTGAACGTTATCTATGTGTGGGAAGAAGGGTGCATGTGAATATAGCAGAGGAGACTACTAGCAAATGCACCAGCTGCAAATGCCCTAGCTGTCCACCAGAATTATTGGCACTAGTTCCCAGCATCCCTTGCTGTTAGGCATGAGTGAAAGTCTTCCTTGCAATGGGAACAGAACAAATGTGTGTCATATGTAAGCCATAACATTTTTGTATTCATGTCCCTTCAAGCCCTTGCCCTTGAAAATGACTCTGGAGTCTTAAGGGAAGGCAGAACTTTCAGACAGACATATCCTGGGTATCTAACTTCATCTAACCAGTGCTGCCACATGCTGGGATCTGTGCTAAGCTGTGGGATACAGATGCATTCTGTTCTCGTTTTGCTTCTCATTGGATTCTAACTTAGGTATCACTGTTGAACAACTTCAACAATAGAGACTCTGCCCATTCAGTAGTCATCCATTTGATTTTAAAATTAACTATGATAATTAGAAATACCTTCCCAATATTGAATATTAATCTATCTGTAGATTAATACTAGATCTAGCTCTAAACAGCCATCTTAAAATTGAAGACATTAGAATTTCTCTTCTTTAGGCAAAACATAGTGATCCTCCTCTTTAATTTCTTGGCTTTGAGCATCTTCCCTATCTCTTACAGGAGTATTTATTTAGGCGTGTCCCTGCCTATTGTTTTAGTTTAATCAATCTCTTCAATGCACTAGTGCCCAGGATGCCAGGTCTGGGGTCATGTTTAACATTTTAAACTTAAGAGCCACGGGAGCCTTTTTCAATTAGACAATGATGATCATAAATCTATAGGTGACTGGTAACAGTCGAGAAAGTTCTTTTCCAAGTTGTTAGTCTCTCATACTGTGTTAAACTCAATGGACAATCTTGTTAATATACTCAAATAAGTTTGAAGTGGGCTTGGGCAGAAGTTGTGTGTGTGATCTACAGTTAAAAAAATCAGATTTATCATCTTTGCTTGACTGTGAAAAACGCTGATCAGACCTAGCATGTTGCCCATTTATTTCCTTCGACAACAGAGGCAATGCTGAGATTGTGGGATAGTTTCCACAGCAGCATGGTTTAGGCATGAACCAAATCGCACACCTGCAAATGCACTAGCACCCAGTTGTGCACATGTTTACTCACAGAAGTGCTCACATTCCTGTGAACAAGACCTCCCTATGGCTTTGGAAGACCTTGCCCTTCCAGAGTGTTGTCTCAAGCCGCTTTCCACGAGCAGTTAATGTCAGTTTAGCCACTGCTGCTGTCCACACCCGCTGGGCATCTGCACAGGATCTGTGAGGTTCCATGAGGCTAAGAGGGTTCATTATGAGAAACTTCAGACTAAGGTGGCTGCTGGAGGGAAAGCACATGATAAACATGGAGATGGGGGCACTTGTGGTGGCTGTTGTTTTAACATGTTCCTTGTTAGCACAGCTCTTTTTCATTCACTATTATTTGTTCTTCTCTCTGTCCATTGTCAGCAGGGTTGCAGCCAGGGGTCCTTTCTATGAACTGCCTCTGATTAGCGTTGGCTAAGATGTGCTTTGTCTCTTGTGATCCCAACTACACATGATCAATGGCTTAGGGAGACCAATGGCTTAGGCATGGATGACCAGGAAAAACAATTACAAAACACAGTTACCAATGTTGGTTCATTTCCTTTGTGTGGGTCTATGATCGCACAGGTGTCTGTACCTTTTTCTGAATGTCCTATGACACATATTATAGAAGTGTGATGATTGCTTCTATTTTGCTGGGACTTTCCACTTAGCCATTACACTCAGTCCAAAAATGAGTCAGTTCAGCTGTGACCAATCCAAGCTTCCACGCAGCCTTCCAAAGAAGTCACTTTACATACAAAGAGAGATGTAGAGTACAAGGTCATTGCCAGTTCAACTGCAAGGGGAAACTAGAATGGACTGTTTTTGTTTTTTTCTCATAGCAACTCATATTTGTATATGTACATCACAATTTGCAAACCAATTTAACATAGATTATTTCATTTGCTTCTCTCAAAAACTCTATGAAGAGTAATTAAGAATTTGTTAATGATTTTTTTTCCTGTGGAAGCAGGAAATTTATAGTCATATAAGTAATTTGATAATTAATCTTGCTTTTCCCATGCACAGGCAACATATTTGTATCTGAAAAAGAAAAATACATAGAAAAAAATATATAGAGAAAAAGAATGAAGATGAAATGGTAAAAATGTTAGCAACTCATGAATCTGGCTAATGACATTTGGAATTCTTTGTACTATTTTTTAAAAAATATATATTTTATTGATTTTACAGAGAGAAAGAGAGAGCTAGAAACATCATCAATGAGAAACATCGACCAGCTGCCTCTTGCACACCCCCTACTGGGGATGTGCCCGCAACCATCGTACATGCCCTTGACCAGAATCGAACCTGGAACCTTTCAGTTCATAGACCGACGACGCTCTATCCACTGAGCCAAACCGGTATCGGCGAATTCTTTGTACTATTCTTTTGACTTCTGTAAGTTTGAAATCCTATCAGAATAAAAAGTTACTGTAATGGCATAAACAGATTAAAGGCATGTGAGTAGTTTTGGGCAACGTTTAAAAGGGGTAATTCCAATAAATTTGTTTGGAATTTCCCTAGGAATCCCAACAACACCTAGATTACAGGCTTTGCTTAAAATCATAGATTTAAAATGCAATAGCGAAAACTACAGGCTGAGGGAGAAGCTATTGTACAGTGGAAGCATGCACGGCATGACTGCATATTCAGTTCATAACTTCTACTGAAATATAATGCAAACTGAGCAAATTCTTTGAATTTCTTTGGATGCAGGTGTGCAATTACAGGTGGCTGCTTTTTTTCTGAACATAGTATATCCCATACGTTAGAAAAGGTTATACTGGTAATTACCTTGCTAGGTAGCCATTGTATTTTTACATATATAAAATGTATCTGCTTTAAATGTATAATCCAACTACTTTTACTAAATTTATGGAGTTGTTCAACCATCACCACAATCAGTTTTTAAATGTTTCCATCACCCCAAAGGGTTCCTTAGGCCCATTTACAGTAAATCCCTGTTTCTATTCCCAGACCCAGGCAAATACACTCTCTGTCTTCATAGATTTGCCTGTTCTGGTCCCTTTATGTGTGGGATCATACACTATGTGGTTTTTCCCTCTCTGGCTTCTTTCACTTAGCAGAATATTTTTGAGGTCTGTCATCCCTATCTTTTCTGGGAATTTTCCTTGGCATAAGAAGTTACCCAGAGAATAAGCAAATACCTTATATTTATTCCTAGGAATGAAGAAGGCAAGCCACTAATACACACTAACCCGTTCTCACAGCTGAGTGGCATTGACAAGAACTCAGCCTGATAATTTTTTCTTGTCCAGAGGCATGCTCTTCTGTAAAAAAAAGAAAAAGTTGGTTGACTGTCTTGACTGTCTATAGTATTTGCCAGAATCTGAGCGATTGTCTTTGCTCCAATTTCTTAGTGACACAGCAGAGACCTTAAGAGATACAATGACGGAGGCTCAGGTTCTGTATAGAGGATGCAAAACTGCCAGAGAAGCTCATGTTTCTGGGGAATCAGATTTCTTAGACTTAAAAAGAATGATAAGCTCTTGTTCGAATATCAAAGTTTGTGGGCCTAAGCACATTAGCATTTTCATTATCACAAGCAGTAGAATGTAATAATGTTTCTGCAGGGGGAAAAAAAAAA